TTTAAATCTTTCAATTTATTAGTGATTAAATAATTTTAGTACAGTAGTTACATTTGAATCATGATAATCTAGCACTACGATCATATTTACCACATTTACAATATTAGCTTTATAAGCTTTATTAGTTATCAAAAACCATAATAAATTGGTCTTGTACAGTGCATCGTTATCGAAATGAAATTGGAGTTTGAAGAGTGAACATAAAGCATACACAAATTTTAGCAGATATGAGAAAATATTACAAAGTATTACTGAACTTCTAATGCAAACCTGTGGATTATTTCATTAGCACGAATCCAAAGGTACTGTTAAATAGTTCAGATTTCGAATAAAGTTAAGATAATTGTAGAGTTTTTTAGTGCACTAAATATTTTACTTAGTGCTTCAAAAAAAATTCCATTTTGAAAAATAGTGAAGCTAGATACGTATGTATTAAATTATTCAAATAAATGCTAGTATATAACGAAATAATTAAATAAATAAGTAAATAAAATAGGTAGTTAATTAATTTTACTTTTTTGATTTCATATGCATTCTCCTACAGCAGGTCTATCCGGATTGCTGATCATGTCAACTTGAATTAATATACAGTATTGTTTATATATGTTTCAGATTCGAAAAAATAGAGGTAGCTTATTTTTGGAATTAAAAATTTTTTTAATTATCTGTTGATTCGACAAAAGAGATAGCTTATTTTCAGATGTTAGACATTTTTAAGATTTTCAATCGAATCAAGGGGGGTAGCTTATTTTTGGATATAGCTTATTTTCGGAAATATACAGTACTAATTCAAATAGCCTGGTATAATATAATTCTATATTCTTTTTCTTTGATGAGTCTGGCAGCCTAGTTGATTATATGCTTTTTTATGCATATTTGTTATTTAGTTTTAATCTTTAGTTTTTTTAAAGGTGTTTTGTAAGCTTTAACTAATCTGATAATAATTTTTTTTTTTCAATATTAAGATGACCTCTTTGGTCTTTTGATTTTATTAATACTTCTGTTAAGTATCATGATGAGTGTACAACTGACTACATATGTAATTTTTCTATTTTACCTATTTAAGAGGTCCACTCGAAGATTTCCTACCAGTTGCTATATCTAACACCTCTGCTTAAGTGTTCTATTTAAACACTCTGATCTGAAACCCTTGTACTAACTTCACTAGGTCAAGCCCAGATTCTCATCTTAACCTTAGAACTATTTTATTCTTAAGATAAACCTACCAAAGCCTCTATGTCCCACATACAGCTAACCTGGATTTTATGTAACATGCTATAGTTATCTAACACTTGCAGTCAAGGCTAACTTTAAACTACTATATTACACTATTTTTACCCTTGTAAAGTTCATCTAAACTCTGGTACCTATCTTTCCAACTTCTTTTCTTTATCCCTATATTATCCAACTTAGAATCTGACAGACTCCTCAGACTCCTAATCCAGATAGCCTGATATAGTATATCTTTTGGTATCCTTTTTCTTCGATAATTCCAACAGCCTGGTTGGTTATATGCTCCTCTACATATCTTTCCATCTGGTTGCATGTCTGCCTATTTCTTATTGGAGTTTCCTAGGCTTCCATTGGTCTAACAGCACCATTGAAGATTTGTGCTCAGGATTTCCAAATGAGATTTCATCTTCTTGATTTCTTGGTCTTCTACATCTGATAGTCTTATCATGGGTTTGCACTAGAATCTTATGCAATCCTGGTTTTAACATTCCTCTATGTATGTGTAATATTACACTTAACATAGATGCCCTGGGCTCCCAATGATGAGTAGAATCTGATTGGTTGTATCCAAAATTACAGATACCTAAATCCAACTGATTGACAGGAGACAGTTTAGTCATAACACAGGTTAATTTTCAAATTTTATTATAGGTGAGATTTGAACCTTAGACCTGCCACTTGGAGGATAACAACCCAACTACTACACTAGGATCACCATCCTCAATCTGATAATATTATTAAAAGTTTATATTATCTTTTTACTTAGGAATTTCCAAGTGGGTTTTTGTTACCTTAGTTCTTTAATCTTCTACATCTAATGGTCTTATTATAAGTTTGCACTAAAGTCTTATACAATATCAGTTATACATTTCTCTATATACATATAACATTACACTTTATATAGATGCTCTGAGCTTCCAATATTAATAGAACCTAATTTGGTATACTTAAATTATAGCTGCATAAGGCCAACCAATCGATAAAAAAAAGTTATTATAACACAAATATAATTTTTAAATTTTATTATAGATAGAATTTGAACCTTAGATCTGCTACTTGAAGAATAACAATCCAACTACTGCACTAGAATTGCCATTCTCCTATTTATTGCTTTTTTTTTAGTTTAAAGCAGCAATCTTGTCTATATGTCTTTATTAAGTAATATATAATTACATATTTTATATACAAAAGTCTATCAACAAAAGTATAACTAGTTATATATATAACTTTAGTTATTATCTAATTAAGAGTTTTATTTATAAGTTATCTACTAGATGTCATATCTGAGACCTGTCTGTGAGTTTCCTATTTAAACTTTCTGATTTTTAATATTTATTGCATATATATGCAATACTTATATTATTATTGTAATGACATATCAAGTTAGAGCTATTTTAGTTACTATTTATATCAAAGTTTTATTTTATTAGATGTTACTAAGTATTCATATTTCTTTGAATTTATCCTTGATGCAAGCTTACTAAGCTGGTACCAAGATTATTACTTAGATCTAATTTAGTATATCTCATATCTACTAAACTAGTTTTAATGCTAGAAATGTTTAAATTTTAGTAAGTTTATTTCTTTATTGTAGTTTCTTTTTATGTTAATTGTATTAACTGCTAGTGCACCTTCTCTTTATTTCTGATATGTTTACTACTTCTCTCATATCAAGCACCAACTCTTCATATTGAAAAACTTTTTTCTAGAAACTTTCTTATATATCAATCTCCTATTCACATAGATTTAGCCATAGTGCTTTATATATATTTATATGCTTCTATAGATTACAGAGTTTTTGCCTTTAGCTAGAATTGAACAGTTAATCTTGTTTGTAGAAAGAGAGATGCCTAAACTACTAAACTACAAAACTTCATCTTTCTATTTATTTATTTATTTATTTTTTTGGTGTTAAGGTAACCTTTTTGGTCTTTTGACTTTTATTAATTACTTATTAGTATTGTGATTTAATAAACTACTACAGAAGAGTATACAATTAGCTACATATATAACTTTTTTATATTACTTATTTAAAGAGTCCATCCAAAGGTTTCTTACTAATTGCTGTACCTAACATCTCTGCTTGGATGTTCTACTTTAAATCCTCTGAACCTGTAAGCTGTATTAACTTACTAGATTATACTCAGATGCCCAGATCATTGTCTCAACCTTAGGACTAATTTATCCTTGAGATAAACCTCTCAATAGAGGCCTGTATTGGGTCCCACAGCCTGGTCCAGTCTAGCTCACAAATTTTTGTAAGCTGGGCCAGGCCTGAAGCAAAATTTTATAATTGCAAACCAGTGTGGATCTAAAATTTTATAAAATTATATAAGAAATTTTTGTGGGCTGAGCTGGGCCAAGCTAAAGAAAAAATTTAATATATGTAGGCTAGGCTGGATTAGCAAAAAAATGTTAATTCTAAATGCAGGCTGGGCTGGGTTAGAAAAAAAATTTTAATCCTAAATGCAGACTAGACCAGGCCTTAAAAATAGGCAATTTGCAAGCCTCTATCTCTCAAAGCCTGTTGTACTCATTTTTACAGCTAATCTAGATATCGCTATAACAGAACTAACTCTTGTGGTCAGGGCTTAATTATTAAACTACTATGCCTTTGTAGAGTTTACTTAAACTCCAGCATCTACTTTACAGCATAATCCTGATACTTTAGTATACCTTTGCCTTTTTACCTATCTTTTTACCAAACTTCCAAACCAGATAGTCTGTATAGGACTATGACTAGTCCATCGATATATCAAGTTGGCCTAATATTCTTTTTTTCTGGTTCATTCTGATGGCCTGATTGGTAGTACTCTTAAGACTCCCAACCTGAAGGTTTTTGCCTGTTCAGCTACAATGATAGGTACTATGACCTTGGTATCTGTTTTTTCAGGCTAGCCTTTACAGTAGGGCCATCAAAGATTCAACTATCTTTCTACTTGAGTCTTTTTAAATGAACTTCTTGTTATCCAATTTTAATGAATTTACACAGCCACAAGAACTTATCTAGTATTTGCACCACCTAATTTGTTGGTTTGCATTCTTCTATATAATGTTATACTTACACAGATGCCCTATGACTTGCCAGTCATATTGGTATAACCATTATTACAGATATCCTAACTCAATTATTAGTAACAGTTGCTATAATATAAATATTATATAGGTAATTATCCAAATTTTGACATTAATAGGATTTGAACACCCAATTTGCCACTTGAAGAGTTGACAACCTGACCACTTTACTAGGTCACTACACTTCTTCATCCCTCTATTTATTGCTTTTTAGAACAAACATTCTAGTTAAATTTAATATTTTTATTTACTTTTAATACTTTTGAAAATTTAAAGAAAGTTTTTTGAATAGTTCCATAGACACCAACTTTAATTTGCTAAAAATACTAAAAAGAACAATATTGGAAAAATAATTATCTATATATATTCCATGTTTTCTAATGGTCGTCTGTGATAAAATTCACTGATATTTTCATATGCGGGACTATCTGAATTTAAAATCTACTAAAAATGATCGTCCATGAAGATATCTATAAATATTACATGGAATGACATCATATATATAATTCTAAAGCCAGGATTTTTTTAATTAATATTCAAGCCATATTTATTGTAATAAGTGTAATATTATTGCAAATATATTAAATTGTTAAAGCTTACAAGAAGTAGGATATCTAATTTAACTATAATAGTGATAGTAAAATGTAAAGTATAATTATATTGGTACGATTAAAAAATAAAATTATGAATTGAACGTAACATTAGAAAAGTGACAATTATTAAAAATCGGTAGTTGATTTTGAAAGTCACCAGTAATTTGACCCTGACCAACATTTGTTGTACCTTGTGAAGAAAATGAATTCGTATTTATGTAAGATCTGGTGGATTCAGTAAGTACTACAGAAGAATCTTGGTTTACAATATTTGTTAAATCAGTTAATGGTTCAATTGTACGAATCAAAGTCTTCATTGTGTTAATGTGTTGTTGCTCGTTGACATTTTTATATGCATGTACACCTTGAATACTTTTATGACCAGTGATATTCATAATTGCATCTTCGGGAATATCTGCATCTTGAAGAATTTAAGCAGCAGTCTTTCTTCCAGTGTGATTTGTTAGAATTCCATCAGGAAGTTGTACTTTAACTTTATTTTCAATATCTTTCATAAAATTTTGGACTCTATTAATTCCACAATGCTTCTTGTAATACCAAATACCAGTAACCCACCAGTCCTGATTAGGATGTAAGTAAAAATTGCTAAAAGCATCTGAGGGGCGTTTTGAAATATATTTCATGATATCACTAACAGGTCCAGATATACCAGGTAAATCAGATGGTAAATGTATACTTTGTGCAGCACCTCCAAGAATTCCACGCTGATTATTTTTGCTACGATAATGATAAAATAAAATACTATCATCAGATTGGATCTAAAATTGGTTAATCTGAAGAGCACAATGCTCACCACCTAGGCAAGCAAAAATCATTGCATTACGAAAAAAAATCTGATATAATAAGCCTTCAGGTGTATCAGGATTTAAGAATTCATCATTAAGAATTTCTTTAACCTGTTGAGCTGATAATGCAACTGAACCTTCTTTTTCACCTAAGCCTTTTTCTTGTAGATCTTTCATTTTGCCATTTACAACATCATGCAAATTAGGGAACTGGTATTTGTCATGTAAATTTAAACCCTGAACAGACCTATGTTTAACAAGATATCTATTTATTCTATCAACTGCTTGTTGAATAGTTTTGGCCTTATATTCTTCTCCATCCTTCTTGGCCATTTGTGCAATATATTCACATACTTGACATTCAATAAGGTGAGGATCAGCAATACTTTTGATTGGTGTAACATAGTTAAAATTACGACGAAATTCTTTGAACTTATCCATCCAATTTCATGTAGCCCTTTTTGTATTTGGAACAGTAGCTTTTCTTTTATAAAATTCTAATTTTTGTTCAAGCTCTGATTTCGAAGTATTTGCAGTAACACTATCCTCAGAAGAAATGTCTGGAATATAAGTGCGTGCACTTGTAAAAATAGGAACAGGTGTATTATGAAATACTCTCTTTTTTGGATTTGGCATTTTTATTTATGTATAGAGAAATATATATAGAAGAAAGATTCGAAAAAAAAAAATATCAGTGAAAAAATCACAGGACGTTAGGATCCAGGGAATATATTAGATATTACTTAATATTTGAAGATATATAGAATATATTTATAAAAAAAATTCAATTAATTTTTAATTACATATTGTTTAAAAAAATCTCAAAGTTGATCAATTTGTTAAAAAAAATTTTAAAAAATTGAAATATTTTAATATATTTCTAAATTAACCAATCATAATTGTATATTTTTTGTGCTACTACGCAAGTACCTTGGTGTAACCTTTATGCATAAACCTGCAAAATTTCAACTATGATTATTATA